AAAATCCAAGACAGGTTAGGTCAAATGTCTATCCAAATAAGATAATGTCTTGAAAGTGAAAAAAGAAAACCTGCAATACTCTTTATGTTCATTAAAAAGTGAAGTGTAAATGTATACAGAAGTACAGCATAATTTTACTAAAAATTTGTGCTCTTACACAAATCCACATCTAAGGTGGTGAAATAGTATTTGTGGAACCCCTGGGTTAGTCATGAATACTATTCCATACAAACAACACAATCCTCATAGTCATCAGGTAAAGGAGATTTTTTTAGAAATAAGGAACTACAGCACTAATACAGAAAACAGTGTGACCTCTCTTAAAGATCCAGTCATTCACCTTTCAAAGATTAATACAGAATTGAGGAGATGCAGAAGAGAACTAGAGTTCAAGAACTCTAAGAACATTGGTTTATTTAGTAAACAATATGAATGGTATCTATAAATACTTCAAGGTGATAAACATTAGTGTGAGTATCACTGGAAGGGGACTATTTAAGATAAAGGGCAATGCTGATATAAGAGTAGATGAGTGTAAAATGTAATAAATAAAGTGTAATAAATTCAAACCAGAATCAGGGAAATGGCCTTCCACCAGCAATATTGCTGCTGTTACCAGTTTATGAAATGGAATCCATGTCACATAATAGCATAATATAGCAGAGAAGAATTGCTTTGGCCCAGGAGGTCCTTTTCAGTTCAGATACAGAACAATATAAAGATAACATACAACCTTCCTTATCCAAGGTAATTTTGACACTTTTTTATTTTTTAATGTAGGGAGTCTCTGTATCAACTACTTGAATTAACAGCATCATCTGCTGTCCCTGCCATTGTAACCAGTATGCTTCTCCCTAATCTGTTGGGCACTGACTGACACAAACTGCATTGAAGCTGAAAGGTGGCAACAGAAATAATGAAGAAATACTTGCTTGTGTAATATACAGTTATCACTTGATAACATGCAGTGAGAAGGAGTGTAAGAACTCATAAGCACCATTAGAAATGCTGCTCACATTCGTCTGAGTTCAAGGAATGATACATAAAAGTACTGGTTTTAAGGTAATATATGTATTGAAGTGAATCTCTGTAAGATAATAATGCACTGGCTGGGAAACAAAAGCAGTAACAAATACATTACATTATTGTTTCTCACTATTTTCTACCCAATTCAATTTGAATATTATATACCTTCCTGATCAAAACTATGGGTTTCCTGTGGCGTTAAGAGGTATGTTTTTAACAGTCACCCACAGGAAAGCTCAACAACCTAACTATTGACCTTAAGTGATGTTATGAATCACATTCCATAAGCAGATGAACCCTCAAAAAGAATGTTTGGATATGGACCTATTTTAAAACCCTGTGCTTAATTTTTGCATTTCCAGTTAACATGTATTCTTGCCTACCTTTTCAGTAGTTAGCAACTACAACAGTAGTTAATCTAGAGCCTGATTTCTCCTGAATCATATATTTTAATACTAGCCTCAGTCTGCTAATTCCAAAATAAAGCATGCATTTAGCTGTTTTTGCTAAGGTAGCAAGATCAGAAACAGAAGATTAAGGAAATAATTACTGAAATATTAAAATATGAAAGAAAGCTTATTATTGATCTTTTTTTTCTTTGCATATGTGAAGATTTTAATGTTTACTTTGTAATTTCCAACAAAGAAACTAACTAGTTGATGACAAAAGGGATCAGAAAGTACACTGGCAACTGGAATGGTACATTTTCCTCTCAATTACCGGTCTTCACTGGGATTTTTAAAATGAAAATATCAACGTTGTTTGTTGAGTTGTTCTAAACTACAGTTTTCTACACTGCCTTTTTCAACACTGGAGCTCTTTTTACACCCCAATGCTTCACTATATTTTCTGATGGTCAGAAAATGAAAGGAGAGGGATTTGATTTTCTATCAGTTCATCTTATTAAATGTTAATTCAGGTGCAGTCTCTATGTGATGTAACTAAATGATTAATAACAAACTGTAAAATACTGCCACCAGCTGGAGAGCCTGACAGATGAGCATACTGCAAAGTACACAAAAACCACGGACAGGCATTAGAAAACATAACATTTGGATGCTACAGAAAAAAAAGACCGTGCTTCTCCTTCGGTAAGAAAACAGATTAATGTCCTATTACAAATGATGGCCTCCATAGCTAAAGAGCTTTAATCCTCTAGCTGTTCATTGCTACGATCATACTCCGAATGTAGGAGAAGGAAAGGGAAAGGATTCCCCTCATGTCTTAAATATATGTTTATTTTCCAAAGATTACTGCATCGAGATGTCTCCGGTAATTGGTCACAGAAGTAGTACTGTCATTTCAAAACTAACAAGCATTCACTTTGAGTACTAGCAGCTGGTTTTAACAGTGAGAAACTGCATTTACTAAAAGGGAGTTCAAGACAAAAGCTTCTATTCCTTTGCTATTTAATGAGGGATTGTGAGGCACACGCTTCACAAGGAAGTGAGGAACATGGCATTTACACAGTAAAGACTCAGATATTCCACTGATGAAGGATGCTCTCATCCAAATTAAAAATAATCCAAAAGATTGTGGATGAGAGAGAATAATTCCTCTGTTTTAACAAAGAAAAAATTCTTGGGGGTTGTTTTCATTCATTTCAGAATCAGAGAAACAAGACCTTAGAAACACAGTTTTTAAAGTGGTTGTTCTGCAGCACGCACATTCAGTTTCTGTAACTTAAAAAGACTGGTACACTAAACCACTTTGTTTCTAATGATTAGGAGAGATGATGAGCACATGTGAATAGGACAAAAGATTACTTCGGGTTTCAGAGTACAAAATTATTTTCTTCCCTAACAGAACAGTGATTTCTGCTGAAAGCAAATTGTATTCTAATTCAATTGTATATAATCACCCACTCCATCTTGGTACCACTCTGGAACTGTGCTCTTATGTGAGTGCTTCTGACTTAGAATCTTATCTTACTTACCTGTATTTTCTTTGTAGTTGTTTTTGGCTGAATATAGAAATACTTTCTCAGGATGACACCTCCCTTACCGTTTAGAGCCCATTACTGCCAGGACAGGCAGATACAGCGTACTGCATATATATATATATTTATATATATAAAACAAGAACTGCTATAAGCAGAATTAAAACTAACTCTTAAAATTATTAAATTTAGAAAATTGTTATAATAAGACTGACAAAATACTTTCTTGAATTTTCCTCTTCTGGAACAGCCAAAGAGAAACGTTCAATTGGATAAGCACCATGTTGTGGAATATATATCAAATGAAAAGACCGAGCACTTTCTGTTAAAAGAAATTGGGCTAATTATTCAACACAAAAAAAAAATCCTTATTTGCAGTATGACATCCTTGAGTTAAGGGTTTTAGTCCTTTCCAACATTATCACATTTTCTAAATGGTTTTTCTGCTGCTAACCTCAGTTCTACCAATCCCATTAGCAGCAGCAGGAAACGTATGGAAAACAGACCACTGGGTGGGTACCCATGGTCTCAAAGCCATCCTTGGTAATCAAACTGAACAAAGTTCTCCTTTCCTGAAAACCTTGCCAGCCATTTTCAGCTCAGTGCAAGTACTCATCCTTTTCTTTCTTCTTCTTCTTCAGTTTTAAGATCCATAAGCTGGTATCTCTACCACTTTCCAGAACCTGTTCCTCCTACTATGGCAGCACACCTGTTGGGCATCACTTGGATGTTTGCTTTCACTTCTTTTAAAATCTATCCTGCCATAATCTATTAGATTCGCTTTATCCATACTGGCCTTAAAAACCAGAAAGCTAACAAACTCCTATAGTAAATAGCAAATAATACATATGAAACAGGAAGAAAAGAGCACATACTTCCCTCCCCCCTTCTTACAAATTCAGATATGTGCAGGAGCACTTGCCCGGAAACATACATAAAACAAATTTCCTGTTTATAGGTGACTTCATTTAATACATATACTCATGTAGAAAGTCACACCACCATTTGACACAATTACAGTGTTAGTGTAAAACACAAGTTATTTTGGACATTTCCTTACCATAATGCTACATACTATCTCACACCAGCACTGCAGTACTTCCCCCAAGTTACCCGACCTCAAGTGTTTTGAATTTTCCCGTTGCTCTGTTCACAGCAGCAGCATATCTATATTCCTGGTGTGGAGCACTTTTACTGTAGGACTTTGTGCCGCAGAAGCTGAGTCTCTGAAAATTACTCTTTACTGAATAGCTCAACTAGTACCTGTTTGCCCTTTCTAGGTAAATGATAAGGATAACATACCAGAGGACTAGCAAAAGTCAAATGATACTAGCCTGTGTCCATGTTATGGTGTTGTTGTGTTAGGAATGACAGGCTGTTCTACCCTGAGCTTTAGCCTAAAATATTTGATGGGAATATAATTTGAATTCAAAGGTGACATTACAAATTCCATACCATGTGCCTGCACATGGGCTGGTTTTGAACTAGCGGCAACTTGTGAAGGTTAATGTAAGTTAACTTTGAGCTATCTCACTGGCATCAAAAGGGCGAGTGCTTTACCTACCAGTTGGTTGGTTGGTTTGTTTAGGTAAATTCTGTGTCCAAGCCAAAGATAGAAGTTGCCCATATTATAAAAGATAGCCATTCCTCTCTTGACATTACAAATATATTTGATACCAAATAATATTCAATCACATCTTTCTTGAACAGTTATATGAAAGAACACAGCCACAAAATAAATACACTGTGAAATTAATCAGAATTGTTTTCTTAATAGTAATTACACGAGACATTTAAATCCTTAGACTGCACTCCTTGTTCCTGGAACTTTATGACATAATTAATTTTAATAAAAACAGATCCACCATAAGTACAATTCTGAAGACATCTCTACTCAAATGGATGATATTTCTCCTCTGTTCCCTCCTCCAGAAGTCCCACTATTATTGTTCCCTTAGACATGATACATTAAGCTAAGAAGAAATTTCATACAGTTTAATAAAATTTTAAAAACCCTTTCTAATCAATGACTTACCTTTAAGAGAGCCAAGGCTACATGGAAGATTATGTTCATACCCTGAAAATAAGAAGAAAAAGACTTCAATCAGTCCCAGCATACACATCTTTCCTCTCTATTACTTATCACTATGTAGCATCATAACTAGATGCTGCAAATCTCTAGGGAATGCTTCCCTTTTCCCTGCTACACTTCAAAGTTCATCATTAAAGCCCCAAGGCAGTTTCCAAACTCCTGGCTGGGGAAGACAACAGCCCTTTGGAGCTTTTGGAATCTCACAGTTCAATTTGTCAGGTGCTATGGATGTGACAGGACATCTCTCGGACATCTCTCAATCGTTTCAGTACCTGTCAACGCTGGTTTTCATGAACAGTGCAGAATACTGTAACAAGCAGGGTATCAAGAAAATGTAATAAATATTCTAGTTGATAGGATTTTTTCCAAGTAACTGATCTTAGCTATGATTAATCATGTACGATCTTTCATGCTCAAACTGTAAAAAAACCAAAATAAAACACACACACCCCAAGTACAAAATACACTTTTTTCTGTTACCAGCCAAAGATCAAAACTATTTCATAGGTAAGCAAACTGATATCTGTATCAAACAGTCTGCTTTCTGGTTTGCAAAAGCTGGGAATACAAGTGTACAGACATTCATTCAGTGAATAATACAATGACAATGTCTGATTATTTAAAAATCAAAGAAAGTAAAAACCACTCTACGGACTAGAGAGGGGTGAAAAAGGCTACATTTCCACTTGCATTGTATACAAAACCAAGAAACACCACTCCCCCACTTTTGTTCAACATCTTTTTATTTTGACAATCAAGACCTTGAGATTTTTCCAGGGGAAGGTGAACACATACCCTGAATGAGGCTCCTTTGGAGCAGCCTAACTGAAACTATTCATCGGGTCCTGCTTGGAAAACTAGCCAGGGGCAGCTCAGGCCAGAGGACACAGGACGACAGCCCTGCTCGCAGTGCACACGTTGTCTCTGCTGATGGAAGAGACTCTCCTGTCTGTAGCCTACACGTCTTGATTATTTAAGATTATAGATTAGAGCTTTGTGTTCATCCAAATATGAAAAATACCATATGCAATTCTCATTTGCTGTACTATGTACTTTGTGTTCAGACTGTTTTCCTAGATGATATTTTACAAATCTTCTTGTCTGCTTGTTTAATGGCATGATAAATCTTTTCTTACAATGTCTTTCAGAGCTGGTATCTAAAAATGTCCCCACAGATTTGCACACAAGTAATACTGTCACTGCAATACATATTGTTGTGGGATAACAACAGGACTTTTTGTAGGAAAACCTTCTCCAAGAAATTTCTGCTCTGCACAGTATTTTTCTAAGCCTCTTCCTGAGAGTCTGAGACACTTTCTATAAAGACTAGCTTTTATAAAAATCTACAGAGACTTTTCAGAGGTATTCTTGGGAAGAAACTGTATTTTTTTTTACATTGATAGTATGGTGCCTTGAAGGCATTTTACCGTTAATGAGTCTTGGAATAGCTACAAAATTAAACGTAATGAATATTGCAATGCTGCGAATTACTTTGCAATTCAATGCATAATCATTATGATAACAAACTGACTCTTTCCACTAGAGGTCACAATTGTAGCAGGACTGAACCTTGCTTCATTAATAGGAAACCCTTCTGCCAAATAGGATAACAAATATTTCAAGTAAACAACAGTTATTTTGCTTTTTATACTTCTTTTAAATAGAAAAAATGTCTGGCTGTGAATTTCAGTCATAACACTGATAATGCTAGAACACCAGCAGCAGAAAAATAAGTTCATAGTACCCTCAGTTTTATTCCAAATACCAATCTGAAGTCAATAGTTCATTCCAGAGAGTCATGACATTAACAACTTTCATTTCCTAACAAAGAGGATTTTATGTGTACGTTTTATGTGTACATACAATCTACAAAGGAGTGGCATAACTACAAGCCATCACAAACATTGTGTTTTCTTCTTAACTAACTGATTGATCAGATTTTGTTGTTTTTTGAGTAGGAGTATTGTGTCTAATTGTTGGATTAGTGAGGAATTAGTGTCCTGTGTATACCCTGGCACTGCCAAAAAAAAACCCTAAAGAAAACCAAACCAGTTTTCATTTATTTTCTAAATATTTTTTTTTTCTGATCTGCCTGAAGCTCACATTGTTCTTGAATTGAAATGAATCCAACACTCTCCTGGTACTCCTCTTATATGAGCGCATTCTTCACATGGATAGCAAATGCAGCAGAAGTAGGTTTCCTCCTGCCTTGAGAATCCCCAGCTCTTTTTCTAGCCCCACCAGGCAAGGGGCAGCTCACAGACTCCCTCATGTGACTTGACATAACCTGTTCGATGCACAAGCACCCTAAAATCAGAACACCAAAAGGACTTAAAACCTTTGTATACAGCAGTCCTGAGCAGCACTCCACTACTCCTGGCAACAGAAAACAATCTGCACCTTCCTCTTTCCTCAAAGGGAGAGTTAACTCCCAAATCAAGGCAATATTTTGGACCTGAGGCACAAACCGCTGCAGTTTCACACTGACCAGCTTGGGCCTGCTGGACCTGAAGGACTAATAAACCCCTTGACAGCTGAGTGAATTGGAGGTGGCACCTGGCAATCTACAGTAAGGCTTCTACTCATGTTTGGATTTACAGCAAGACGCTTTCGATTTCAAAGGCAGTGCCTTATCCACCCATTTTAACAACACATTTTATAACCACTGATCTACATACTTGAGTTATTTTTTCCTAATGCATGCAAGTCTATTCTGACATAGCCAAGTTTAATGATTATGATTATGAAAAAGAAGCCTCAGCTCATTTTTCCACAATCTCTTATTTAAAATCCTACTTCATTTACCACACACTGATTTATAAGATTCATCTTAAACTTCTCCATCTATTTTAGAAGGACCAAAAATACCAAAGTGCAGACACATAAATCATTGCTAGCAATATCCCTCCAGCAATTTTATAATGGAAACATGAAAGTACATACAAATCATCCACAGGGGGAAACAGAAAGGAGCCCATATTAAATAAGCTTTGGATAATTACTTTTTAAAAACCAAAGGTCAGATGTTTAAGTAGGCATTTGGAAGTAAATGCTTTAATATCATGCAGATCTCATCTTAATCTTTAAAAAATTTGCAAATGTGAAAGTTGTTCATAATTACCTACACACTTGTGGTTTTCAATATACAACAGTCAAAACTAAAAATATATACTATTACTAAACAGGAACTGTTATAAAAAGCACAGGAACAGTTAGGGGTTTATCATCATGTCATATTGCTTCTCAATTATCCGGCTGCTCTTGTTTTTCAACCTGAGAGGCTTTGCTGCTCCTGAGTAAATGAGGGAGGAGTGTGCAGCCTGCACAGCTCGAAGACATTACGCCTGCAGGCAAGGATCCCAGAAATGAGGCATGTGGGTATCCTCCTCCAAGGAGCTTTTAACTAGCCTTTTGCAGAAGGCCAGCAGTTTCTATGACAGCCTGTCTTAGAGGCTTATCTGCCTAGTTAAGCATCTGTGCAGCAGCATCTTTTTTCCAACAGGTGTCATTTAAGAACCCTCTTAAGCTCATGTAGAGGCCTAGAGCATTTTAGCAGATCTCATTAAGCTCAAGAGTTCTGGAGAAGGAACAAGCCCATCTCAAAGCAGACAACTCTTGACTATTTTGCAGTCAAGATGGTGAGATAAGGGTCAGGAAAGGGAAAATTTTAGAGGCTCTCTACAGCCTCCTTAGGTCTCCTGCTGACTGCCATGCTGAGTGTTCTCTGCTTTATGAAGACTTCCATAGGACAGCACTTACTCAAGAAGAAAGAGTATAGTTTTGAAGAAGAACCCTTCACACCTACTGGGATGATAGCACTAGGATGAACAGTCACTGTCTGGTAGGTCACCATTTAACCCATTAAGACTGCCCTTCCTAGAAGCATCCACTTACTTGGATTATATGTCAAAAGACCATAATTTCAGACAGAGATTGTAGGTAACATTCTCATGGGCAAAACAGCAAAACTGTATCTCACGAGACTGTAAAAATGAACTGGAAATGATACATGTGCACTGAAAATAAGGCTGGCTTAAAATAAGTGGAAAGCTTATTATGTTAACTCTTTTCTAGTGAGAGATTTTCGGAGTCCCTTAACTCCCTCTGAGGCCAAGATTCCTTCTGCGGATAGAAGAACTTTTTGAGGAGTCTTCACTTTGACTCCCTCTGCACTTTGAAACAACATGACTTCTGAAAAGGCCTGAAAAGTAGATTAGGAACAAAGAACAAACAGACAACGCAAATGATCTGATTTTGTAGGATCCAGTTTGTATTCAATGATCTCTGTGACAGAAAGGATGCTCATGGCTTCCTTTAGACGGGAGGAGGCATATCTATCCCTTTGACCCAGAAAATCTATCCAGAGACCTGAAAAAAGGGAGTTAAAGGGGCAGCAAACTAACACTTGCCACTGGCAAAGCTCAACAGCACAGCATGGAGCTGGTAGAAGGGTTAAGCCAAACAATATAATCATGTAGTATCTGGACAACGTTTGCACAGGGGACAATTTTGGAATTTATCTCCCATCTTAAAGCTTTTCTTTAATGACAGAAGCCTTGTGAGAAGGTAGGCTACATTAAATAGTAGCATCTCGCCCTCTCCCACCCACCCGACAGACCTTCCTCTGGTTATAGGGCAATGCCCTCTGCCTCATTTTCATAAATAAAAGGAAGTTAATCTCTTAAAAAGTATACAGAAAATTCATTTAATGTTAGTGTCCTTATCTGTGGTCCTTATCTCCTAAATATGCATGACATGTAGGAGGAAACAGTGAAGATACTGCTACAATGTTCTCTGAAGTTCAGTGCCAGGTAAAGAAGATATACATGAAAGTCAACTAAGCACCTTCTTAAGATCTGAGAAGTCTCAAGACTCACATGACATGCCATCAGGAGAACCAGTTAATCTGTTCCAGGTTTCTAATAACTGATTTCTCCTTTTTTTTACAAGAGAGATTAGCTACTCAAGTGAAGTTAATTTGACAT